TTCACCATTACCAAATCCAGGGGAGCTTGGCAGCTCATCGACGGTGGTTCGCATCACATCGGTGGTGGTTGGTAGTCCATCAGTAGCAGCTCTGACCTCTCCAGCACCGCAGCCGACCTCTCCAACCTCTACATCATTGCAGTCGATCTCTCCAACGTACCAGTCGACCTCCTCAGCATCTTCTACCTCGCCCGCTGCGACACCAGTGCACGCAGGGCAGCCCGAGGTCGAGTATGCCACGCCATTGAAGGACGATGAAGACCGCTTGGATGCATACTACGACGATGAGCCTCTGTGATACCGCACCGTGGCAAGCATCCTTGGTGACCAGTCTTCACCGGACCGGCCCTCGGCTCTTCGCCCAACTTCATCTGACGCACGCCGGTGAGCCGACCACTTACGCTGAGGTGCAGGGTGATCTGACGTGGCAGGCGGCGATGGAGCAGGATCTCAAGTCCATTGAGCAGAACCGCACCTGGGAGCTGGTGCCACTGCTTGACGGCCAGTGCCCTATCACCCTGAAGTGGGTGTTCACGCTCAAGAAGGACGAGCTAGGCGCGGTGATCAAGCACAAGGCGCGGCTGGTGGCGCGCGGCTTTGTTCAGCAGGAGGGGATCGACTATGATGATGCCTTCGCCCCCGTGGCGCGCATGGAGTCAGTCCATGTCCTCCTCACGCTGGCAGCTGATGAGTGGTCGCAAGTCCACCACATGGACGTGAAGTCCGCCTTCCTCAATGGCGACCTCAAGGAGGTCTGCGTGTGCCAGCCACCTGGCTACGTCGTCGCCGGAGAAGAGGGGAAGGTGTACCGCCTGCGCAAGGCACTCTATAGCCTGCGCCAGGCATCGCGCGCCTGGAACACGAAGCTCGACGCCACACTCAAGAAGATGGGGTTCAAGCAAAGCGCGCATGAGGCGGCGGTGTACCGGCGGGGCAGCGAACGCAACGTTCTATTGGTCGGCGCCTACGTCGATGACCTCATCATCACCGGCACTGAAGAGCAGAAGGTGGAGGTGTTCAAGGCTCAGATGAAGAAGGCGTTCGACATGAGCGACCTCGGCCTCCTCTGCTTCTATCTCGGCGTCGAAGTGTGCCAGGACGCCACCGGGATCGCCCTCCGCCAAACCCACTACGCCAAGCGCATCCTCGAGCTTGGCGGCATGACAGGCTGCAATCCGCCCCACACCCTGATGGAGGAGAAGCTCAAGCTGAGTCGAGAGAGCATGGCGGAGGAGGTCGATCCAATCCATTACCGGCGGCTGATCGGGAGCTTGCGATACCTGGTCCATTCCCGGCCGGACATCGCGTTCGCTATCGGGTACATGAGCCGGTTCATGGAGTGGCTGACGATGGAGCATATGTAGGCCATCAAGCGAATCCTATGCTATGTGGCGGGCACCCTCGACTACGGTCTTCACTACGAAAGGGCCCCCGACACGGTGCGGTTCATCGGCTACTGCGACAGCGACATCGCCGGCGATGTGGATACCAGCAAGAGCATAACCGAGACAATGTTCTTCCTCGGTGATTGCTTGGTCAGCTGGCAGTCCCTCGAGCAGAAGGTGGTGGTCCTCTCACGCTGTGAAGCGGAGTACATCGCCACCACCACTGCCACTACACAGGCGCTGTGGCTGTCAAGGATGCTGGCAGAGCTCCTTGGCAGGAAGGTGGATGTCGTTGAGTTGAAGGTGGACAGCAAGTCTGCTCTAGCTCTGGCAAAGAACCCTGTCTTCCATGAAAGAAGCAAGCACATCCGCATTAAGTACTATTTCATCAGAGATTGCTTGGAGGACGGAAGCATCAAGGCCAGCCACATTACCACTACTGATCAGCGGGCTGACATTCTCACCAAGTTGCTAGGGAAGTCCAAGTTCTAGGAGATGAGGGAGAGGATTGGGCTACAGTAGATCACTCCAGTGCTCGGCATAAGCCTTAGGGGGAGATTGATAGATAAGCCTAGTGCTAAAACACTTGTATCTTACTTTTCCTGCACTTTTACTTTCCTTGACTTCCAAGTCTAATGTTAGTAATATGTTCAGCATCCACTTTAGTTGTTAGAATATGTTGTAGCAAGTGGGAGTCCCATTTGCCTATAAAGGGCAATGGAGTATCATTGTAAAAATAAGCCATTGCATTTTCATTCAATCTAAGCGGCCAAGGGCCAAGCTGTCCTCTGGTAGTTTCAGATCTGAATTTGAGATCGATCGGACCAACAGGATATAGTTCCGTGTCAGTCTTATGCTTCACAGAAGATATTCTGCATGCCCAGTGAAGTTGCACGACTCGAGCTAGCCTTTTGGACTATCCTTGACAAAGCATGGAAACTCGAAGTGGATTTGAGGAATCTGTTGACCCATGGAACCTATATATATTCTTAGCTCTCATTTTGACAACAGTATATATGACAGTGTGCTAAACTTTCTGGAAGTGAAAAATGTGAACCATGAATGGTATGCAAAATGCATTGAAGGCTCAAATCTTGTCAAGGAGGTACACGAACAGCTTTACCTGGAAATTATATATTTTGTTGCAGACAATTGGCAAAACTTTTCTGGTACAAACATGATTTCCATTCCCCTATTGAAGTATGTTGATAGGGGTGGTGTTCTCTCGTTCTGGAGCATATCTAGAGCTAGTCAGTGGAATGAGAGGTTGTGCATTGCATCTGAAAACAAGTACATATCATGGCTAATCAGCTGGAACAGGGAATTTCTATCTTCTAACCAGTTCTTTCTGCCTCCCAGCACACAAACAGCTCTAGAAGATTTGTCGGAGAAGATAACTGTGAAAAACTGGCTTAAGAATCATGCAAGAGTGGAGGTTGTCTCTGTCTATAGCTATGCATCAACTGTTGTTGATTCCTTGGGTTCTGATCAAAGAGCTGTCATTGCCTTCGCACACTTTCTTTACCACTCTTCCAAGATGCTTCACATCGAGAGCTACTACTTATCAGAACTTTGCCGCACCATGCCAGTAATTGATAGCTATGGCTACGTTGTCAAGAAAAGAAATAGCATTATAGTTCCTGCCAAGGGTAGCAAATGGGTTGGTTTGATGGGCACAAACCCATGGAGGAATGACGGCTACATTGAATTGTCAGCAGAATACAAGTCAGCAGGACATTTTGCCGGAAACTACACTTCTGAGGACCAGCTACTGGAATTCCTCAAGACAAATTTGCAGGCTTCGGATGTGCCATTCATACACCCACCAGATGCCAGATTCCCTACTGTTTCATCACCTCTAACTGTGGAGAATGCATTCTTGCTGCTGGAATGGATAAGGAATTTGAAGTCAAATGGTGTGAGATTACCAGACCTGTTCTTGACTTGTGTGGAGGAAGGGAGTTGGCTAAAGACGTCGGCTGGGTACAAGTCGCCTAATATATCATTTCTGTCCAGCGCCAATTGGGGGAGTCTTCTGCAAACAGGACCTTCCTGTGTTGATATACCAATGATTGATCAACAGCACTATCAAAACAAGCTACATATGTACAAAGAGGAACTCAAGGCAATTGTCGTGAGATTTGAATCCCAGGAAGCTTCAGCTTACATCGGAAGTCGTCTCATGTCTATTGCTGCTGGCAATTCGCTGACCAAAGAGAATGTGTACACACTGCTTCGGCTTATTCGGTTTCTACGAGAAAAGTTTCTATCTCCGAGTGAACTGATCAAAAGTGTCAAAGAGGGACGATGGATGAAGAGTACTCTTGGGAACAGGCGTCCTGCTGATTGTATCATCTATGATTCAGATTGGGCAGTGGCATCATGTATCAGTAACCAACCATTCCTTGATGTTCTGTCCTACGGTGAGGCCATCCTCGAATATAAACCCGAGCTGGAATTACTTGGTGTTATTGTGGGGTTCAAAGACAATTACCAGCTTGTTATTGACAACTTCAAGTTCAGTTCTGATGATATTACTTCTGAGGCTACTCTATTAATCCTCAAGTGCATCCGTTATGTGGGTTCATGTGATGATTTCGTAAGGAAGCTGAAAGATTTGAAACGGTTGAAGACAATTGTGGGATTTCATGCTCCTAACATGTCTTTTCTTGTGGACCCTGAATGGGAGTGCCTTCTAAAGGTCTTTGATGGAGTTCCTGTTATTGATTACGGATTTTATGGGAGTGTGATCAGTTCATACAAAGAAGAATTGAAGAAGACTGGGTTGATCACAAGATTCGATGAGGCATCAAAGGCTATAACCCATATTTTCAAGCAGAAGGTGTTGAATTCATTGCTTGAAAAAGCAGATGTCCTGGCTCTACTAGGATCGTATCGTCAACTGGCAACACATAACCCACTTCAAGTTGAGCTTTTCAACTCTATGCGTACTGAAAAGTGGCTGTACACCTCACTGGGATTCCGATCTCCTTCAGATGCAATTCTATTTGATGATGCATGGGAACCTTTGTCTCCAATAGAAAATTTACCATTCATAGATGATGGTGACTCTTGTCATGGTTTAGGAATGGAGATACATGGCTACAAAGATGAACTGAAGAAGTTGGGTGTTACTGTTGAATTAAAACAAGGTGCTAGATTCGTCATCACAGGCATCAGCATTCCCAGTGACCCTTCCAAGTTGTTCAAAGCTACAATCTTGTCACTGCTTGGGTGCATCAAGAGCTACTTCACCCTTGCAGCTGGACCTCCTAAGGGCTTCCAGGAAAAATTGTGCAAGAAGTGGTTGAAGACATCCATGAGATATCAGTGTCCTAATGATTGTATCCTCTTTGATCCAACACAGTCTTCTATCTGCATCGAAGATGGCCCTTTCATAGATGAAGCATTCTATGGTTCAGAGATAGCCCAATTAAAGATGCTCTTACAAGAATCGGAGTAACTGTGGATATCAAACATGGAAAAGATCTTGTTGCTCGGCATCTGAGGAGCCACAATGATAGGATTACCATTTCTCGGATCTACTTATACCTGATGGAGAGCAAATGGGTGCCTGAAAATAAAAATAGCAATTGGATTTGGATACCAAACGAAATGGATGGTGGAGAATGGGTGACCTCAAGAAGCTGTGTTCTTCATGATCGGAACAGTCTTTTTTGCCTGCAGCTTCACGTCCTGGACAAATATTATGACAAAAAGTTGCTTGACTTCTTTTTGTACTCTTTCGACGTGAGGAATGGACCTGGTTCTGAAGATTACTACCAACTATGGGTCACATGGGAGAAGTCCATCCAGGAGATAGCTGTGTCTGATTGCTCTGCTTTCTGGAAATTCATTGCGACAAACTGGAGCAAAAACACCCAGAAACTTATTTCTGGCTTTGTCAAAGTTCCTGTATGTACTGATGGAAAGATCATTTTGTCAAAGAAGGAGGATGTGTTCATTCCTGATGATCTACTACTTACAGACTTGTTCAGCAAGCTATCTCAGCATTCATTTTTTATCTGGTATCCTGCTTCTATCCTACCTTCCATGGCCATGTTTGGTACAGCTTATCTGGGAAGTGCTTCCCAGATAAGCTGCACAAATAGAGTAAAAGCGGCGGTCAAAATAAGCTGGTCTGATCCAGCTTCTGCTTTTTAGTACAAATGGGAGCTGTGGGAATAAGCGTGGCCAGAATAAGTTACTGAAAAGCATGGTGTTTGGCTGTTGATTTCAGCTTATTTTGGCCATAAGCAGCTTATACACTGTACCAAACAGTCCATGTCTCAGAGCAAGCCTTAACTGCATCTATGATACCATCGGTGTTCAAAGAATATCCAAAGAAGTTACCAAGAATGATTCCTTCACCTTAGACAATTACCGGTTTAGAACAATTGATCCAAGTAAGGTGATCATGGTTGGCCTACTCAAGATAATTCTCTCGTTCCTCGCTGATCCTGCTCTCGACATTCCTGCTGAAGAGAGGCACAGGATGGTTTCTTGCCTTCTGAATGTGACTGTCCAAGAGAGTGATGAACCAATCACAGTGGGGTATAGTGTAAGATTGTCATCTGGAGAGGTGGTGGATGTGAAGTCCAGCCGAATGCTTAGGTGGGAAAGGGAGGATTCCAAGCTGTACATGCAGAGTAGCGATGGTGAGCCCAGCTACAAAGAGAAGATTGAGTTTGCGACCTACTTCACAGAGTAGATATCGCAAGGTCTGCCCTTTGAGATGGCGGATCAGATCCCTTCGCTCGCTGAGCTTATTAAGTTTGGCAGCTTACTGGATTTCCATGATGCTGCTGTTCGGTTCTTGCTGAAGTCAAAAAATCTGCAGATGTTTCCTGAAGACGAGCATTTCCTGAAGTCTTCAATGATAGGTGTGTGCCCTGACACTAAACTTCTTATTGTGCCTTCTAAATTTTCCCCAAATTACATAACTATATAACCTACTGATGCCACTGTCCCCAACTCTTTCTATACGCAGATGGCAGCATGAACCATTAGTTTTGTGTCGAGTATTCTCTTTTGATAATGTTCACGGTCAGTAAATGTTTTCATTCTTGTTTACAGCACTATCGTGCATGTATAATGTTTGTATGCAGCATCATATGTTTTCTCACTGCAAACCAAGTCTTATGTAAATTCTCTTGGCAGGTTGCTGGTGACCTACATAAAAATTTGGTGCTGACGTGCTGTGCTTGGAAGCGTCCATCTTGTGAATGTGACTGCCCTGGTGTTTTCTAGCGTCCATCTTGTGCCTAGTCAATCTGTTCCTATATCTCGTGTTTAAGTTTGGATTTCTGCGTGCAACTTGTCAGTTGTTCCCGTGCATGTATTAAGTGCAAAACAGAACTCAACCGTGATAAGTAATGTGGTGTCTGATCTATTTATTTCTGATCCTATTTGATGAGTCTGTGTTGGACATGAACAGTACATAAATTATCGCCCTGTTGTTCGGCCTGGTTTGGCTTATAAGCCATGACTGAAAGTATTGTTGGCTGGTTTGGTGTGAGAGAAAAATACTGTTCGTTGGCTGATAAGCCATGGCTTATAAGCCGAATACGACCAAACGAACAGGCTGTATAGCTACAGTGTGGTGCCTTGCTTACTTTAAATTTTTTAGGTTGCCATTTGGATGAGTCAACTAACGTTTTTTGCTTTCACTTTGGACGAATTCATGTTTTCTCATGCCGGTCAATATCAGGATCAAAAGGAAAATATATAGTTTTGCTATAACGTATAGAGTGAAAAACTTGCCTTCTATGCCTGAATTTTGTGAGTTTGTATATAACTTATTTAAGAAAGATGTTCAATTATTTTTTTAGGAGTTCAACGTCATGATTAAAGGTGTTGTAAGAAATTGGGTGAAATATTCCTTCCTCACACCTTAATTTTTAGTTACATCAATTCTATATGGAAAGTATAGTAAAAGGGCGTACCCAGTGTATAGAGCTCTTGCTATGTGCGGGGTCTGGGGAAGGGTGTCAGTGGCAAGCCTTATCCTCGCCTGTGCAATGCGAGGAGACCGCGACTCAAACTCGGGACCTTCCGGTCACAGGCCGTAAGACTCTACCGCTTGCACAGGCCCGCCCTTCATGGAAAGTATACTAAAATAATCATTTTATCTTTAGTATAATTTAATTTAAATCCAGAAATTAAGGTTTCTTCTAAAATTCTGATACATTTTTTTTCCTAACCACAAACAAACCTGACAATTGATTTCTGGTAAGAGAGTCAGGAAATTGTTAATCACAAAATTCAATCCAAATCATGGCTTTCCAACCCTTAGCTCATAAAAGGTACTTTTTTATCAGAATAAAACCCTTTATTGAGTTTCATAAGAATTACAAACGCCATCGGGCGGAGATAGAAGCCAAACATGTCACCCAAGTTTGTCATAAATACAACTTCTAGCTAGATTATGAGCATCCATATTGGATTGCCTCCCCTCATGGACAAAGTCAACAAGCCTAAAGTCATTAGATCTAGCTCTAATCTCCTGCACAACATGACCATAAGTGCCCATGCTTCCTTCCTTGATGCTTTTGATAACCCCAACATTATCACACACCAATATGAAATCTCGCAGAACCAAATCACTGGCGAGTGCAAGACCTTCTTTGCATGCTATTGCTTCCACCATGTTGGTTTCCATGCGACCCTCTAAAACCACAGCCGAGGCCCCCAAGAATCGCCCAGCCGTGTCTCGAGCAAGAGCCGCCGCAACAACGACTCCTGAATTTTTGGCCAAGGCTGCATCAACATTGATCTTCATCAATCCTGTTGGCAGAGGGATCCACCTCGCAGGACTTCTCTGAACTTCAGGCCGCACCCTCCTTTGTGGCTTTGCGTACTGAATGTCGGCCACAGAATTGGTAACAAACTGATGAGTCAAGAGCGGGCTTTGATAAATGTTTTCATGCACATCTTTCCTCCTCGCATACCAGATTGCCCATAGAGTAATAGTCACCTGAATCAGGTCCTCATGTCGTAGGGACTTCATCACTGCGGCCAGACAACCCTTCGTATCTTGTTCCTCGATTTGGCAAAGGTGTTGAGTGATCTCTTCTTTCTCCAGAGCCCATACACAGCGCGCCATATTACATTCGAGAAGTGAGTGCTTCCACGAGTCCTCGACTCCACATATTTGGCATGGAGAACTTCCTTTGATGGGAGAGAGCACCTAGCTAGTCTCTACAGGAAAACACATACTTTGGAGGGATCCTTGATTCCCCACAATGTACACCACTCCTTCTTAGTAGCCTGTCTGTCTGAGGCACCCACATTCTTGGCCAGATACTTATGGTGTGCAAGCATCCTGTATGCTGATCGAACCGAGAAAATGCCACGCTTTTCAAAGTGCCAACCCCAAAAATCTTCTTGACACCTTGTGCTTAGAGGGATGCTCGTGATCACATCCACATCAATCGGTGTAAAAAACTTCATTAACTTCTCCCGATCCCAAGTTGCCGTCGTCGGATCAATGAGTTCACTAACAAGTTGAGGGAGGTTCGCCAGGCTGCTTGGCACCGGCCTCCTTAACCCTGACGTAGGTAGCCAATCCATAGTCCACACATTAGTTGATTCACCTGTGCCTATCCGCCGTATCAGGCCCTCTTTAAGGACATCCCGTCCTTCAACAATTGACCACCAAATACGGGAAGGAGACGAACCAATCTCAGCTGCAAGGAACTCTCAGTCTAGGAAATAGATAGCTTTTAGGACCCGAGCACTCAAAGAACTGCCATCCTGCAATATCCGCCATGCTTGTTTTGCTAGGAGTGCAAGGTTAAACAACTCCATATCTCGGAAGCCAAGACCACCAACATACTTCGGTTGGGTCATGTCATCCCAGGCCACCCAACATGTCTTCCACTTACCATCTTTACAGTCCCACCGAATTTTATGCGAGAGACCATCAATGTGTTGGCACACCCGAGGGTAATTTGAAACAGGACATAGAGAAAGTTGGGAGTGCTTGTGCAATGACTTGATGAGAACCTCCTTCCCACTGGTGACAAGCACTGCTCCATCCATCCTTGTACCCTATTCCAAACACCGTCCTTTAAGTATTTGAAGGCTCCATTGATCGCTGAACCCACATCGGATGGCATGCCTAAATATTTATCCTTGAGTTCTTCAAGATACCCCAAGGATATTCTTGATCTCCTCCCTCAAGTTCAGGCCGCAACCCTTGGCAAAATGAATCAAGATTTTTTCCATATTTATTTGCTGGCCTGAAGCTTGACAATAAATACTCAACACTTCCTTCACTTCCGGAGCACTCTCCCCATCAGCCCTGAAAAACAGCAGGCTATCATCTGCAAAGAGTAGGTGGCTAACCATCAGAGCCGATAGAGCCACCCTAATGCCATTGAGTGCTGATGACTGATTCCTTGATCTCAAGAGGCACGAAAGGCCCTCTACTGCTAACAAGAAAAGATAGGGGGAGATCGGATCACCATGTCTGATTCCCTGTGTTGGAGTAAACGGCTCTAAACACTCACCATTGAGCTGAACCAAAAAGGACACTCAGCCTCATTATCTTCTATCGATGAAATCTAGTCGGCAGTCTACCGAGGGGTATTGCGACAGAACCGTCCAATTTATACAAGCTCAAACACGGCTGCCCCCGCTTAACACGTTGGTACGCACACACTTGCACTTATATAAACCCGATAGTCCCCCGAGTGTCATGAAGGACCTCGGTAAATCAACATCACAACCAAGATCGCATGATTAAGTAAATACACATCACATACACGGAGTTTGCAGCAAAAATAATGTTTATAATTGAGTTCACAAAGAATAATATGTTGCCAAGTTTACAAATATGATAGCTAAAACAACATAGCTTTAAAATGATTACAATAACATAAGTTTTAAATACACTGCTAGCATAAGTAACATTCTCCAACAATAGTATATGAACGAGAAATAAATATAGAGTCTCAAGGGATAAACATGGTGGGATAAACCCTGAGTACTCTAATGTACTCAGCTAGACTTACCCTATAGGAGAGAAATAAAAAGACTCTCAAGGGTATGCAAGGCTTATTTAGTGAAGTTGGATGGATAGCATAACTTTGCAAAAAGAGCATTACTATCATAAGTCCTTACTTTCAATCTTTTAGTCAATATTTTAGCATCAAGTTTAGTGAAGCTTATTATGGCAAACTTTGCACCTATTCTAGAGCAATCACTTGATTAAGCTAAAGCAAACATTAGTAACCATATCCGAGTTATCATATATCATCATAACCATCATGTTATATCTAGTGTTACTATGAATGGAGCAAGCCCGGTCAAGTTTCTCACTATCTAGGAGAGATGACGATTCGAATCGATTGCAACCAGCTAGGCAGTATTCCTAACACAAACCTAGATATACCTGCGCCAAGGTAGTTTTAGGTCACCTTTGGTACAACTTAGGTACACATGTTGTGGGTTCAATCAGGGCCACACAATCAGGGACAACCAGCTGCTAGGATGGTTAGGCCTAGCCTGCCCTTGGGCTCATGTCTGGCTCCCCGCACATCCTTACTACCTCCAGTGTGCGCACTCTTATAGAATGGGGCCTGACCTGAGTTGAGCTACCCTAGCTTCGTGGTCGGAACGAGTTATCCGGCTAGCTAAGTGAGATGCTATGTTCAAAATGACCGAGGACCAATAATGATGCGGTCCTTAATCGACATAGATAGGATA